TGAGCGCTCATAATCGCAGCTCCATCGCCAACTCCGCCCAGCGGTATTTGTATAAAAATGTGGGCCTCCAAATGGCTACCATTGAAACAAATTGTGGTTTTTAGTCTTTTGCTGGTAGTTGGTGCGTGAGAGGGGATTGTCTATTGATTAAAATGGAAGTCTGTTTGTGTTTGGTGAGTGGAGATTAATGTGTGTGTGTCTGCTGCTTGTGTGTGTGACATTGCTGGATTCATTGTGGGTCGAGATTATTGACAATTAGGTGTGTGTTCACATAGGTGGTAACTGAACAGTGAAAGAGGAGTATGCGATTGTGGATTATTATTTATATTCTTTGTGGATAGTGGTTCCTCGAAAACTGAAGTGAGTGAACAGAAGACAAAGACAGTGGTGCCAAATATGGCTGCCACCCCAGTGCTAGGATATCGGGCACACACGACCAAGAAGCATCAAACGCTAAAATCACAGTACCAGCGGCTTGTACATGAGTTCGCAGACGCACAGCTGAAACCGCTGCTTCAAGTACTCCGCGACATCGAGGACATGGCAGAGTACACTCCAGCTTCGGTGGGTGACAGTGAGCAGCGGTCATCCATTATCAGCAGGGTCGACAAAAATGGCGAGAGCTACTGCCAGGCCCTAACAGGGAAGACCTTGTTCAATGCCCTGTATGGTACATACATAGTTGCCTTACAGGAGTTAAAAGCGGCCTCCGTAGTCTAGAGGTAACGTTTCCACCTCATGACTCGTAGTACGCGGGTTCAAATACCCGGTGGAGGTCGTCGAATTTTTAAGGGCGGAAAAATTCAGGGAACAAGTCCTCCGGGAGGGACTTTAAGCCATGCGTCCTGTGTCATAGCTTTACGGCACGTAAAAGAACCTCATACCTCCAAAGGAGGTCACTGAGCAAAATTGCGGACGTTTGCCGCCCAACAGCAGTCACTAATACCTCCGGTAGATGGGGGAAGCATTATAGATACTTCTCAGCCAGTAGAGCCGGTCTCGCTGGCTGGGCGGGACTGATGGTAAGCACCAATACCGGTAGGATATAGAGGCTGGTAGAAATCATAGAGGGAAGTACAATGGACCACTACAGGAGTTAAAGGCCATGCTGAAGGCGAGCAATCAAACTGCTCCGTCTCAGGCAACTAAGTTCTTTTCCACTGATGAGGACAGATACAAAGAAGCCCGGCGGCGCAAGCAGCACAGTACCGACGAGGCTGCACTGACCACGAAGAAAGCAGTGTGAGCCGCTGAAATCGCCCCCTAAAGAGGTTGCCACCCGCAACTTCTTCGCCTCCCTAAGAACAACCACGGAGATGGACAATACCTGTGCAGATGCCGCTACACCTGTGGAGACAGTGTCTGACAAAGCAGGTGGGCCGCCTCGAATAATATTGACGAACGTGGTTAAGGGCAACTTCGAGTTCCGTAACAAGGAACGGAACAAGAGTCCTCACGAAAGACATGGCGGATTTTTAATACGTCAAAGAGCATTTCAACAACAGTAGCCTAGCTTACTGCTCCTTTTTCCCTAAATTCCTGAAGCCCGCTAAGGCAGTAATCTGACACCTCCCCATCAATACCCCTGCCCAGGATATTTCAGAAGGTCTGGAACACCTGGGCTTCAACATTGTTAGCGTCAAATAAATGATAACCCGCCATTCCCATTCCGAAGAAGCAACAACCAGGAACCTTCCCTTGTTCCTCATAACCTTGCCGCAAACAGCAGAATCACAAGAAATCTTCAATCTGCCAAACCTTTGCCACATATCCATCAAGGTAGAGGCTTATAGAGCCCAGACTGGACTTAATCAATTCAATAACTGTCAAAAGTTCAGCCACGTCTAGACTAACTGTAAACAACCTCCACGTTGTTTGCTGTATGGAGGCTGCTACCTACACAAGGAATGCCTAGAAAAGGGAAACGCTGCTTCCACTCCAGCATGTTGCAACTGCCGGTTGGTGGAGGGAGACAAACAGCATCCTGCCGATTATCGGGGTTTTAAACGTGCCAAGGAGCAGCAGAAAAGGAAGGGGCAGGGAGTGCCCAAAACTATCACGGGGAGGGTGTTCTCAAAAATCGTCACCTCAGGTGTCTCCTTCACGGCGGCACCCCAAGGAACGCAGGACAGCAGCAACAGCAACGTCAGGAATGCCATATTCCAGTGGCTTGCCCAACCACAACAAGAAAGCAGATTGAACCAGCTCCTGCACTGCAGAACGAAACAGGTAAGTCAGTTCAGGCTCCTCATATAAACAGCAGATGATGACAGAGTTCAAAAGTGCAGTGTCTGAGGAGGACAAAATGGTGGCCATTACAAAAGTTATATTAAAGCTCATGAAACAAAATGGCCACTAGAGTTCATAGGCCCCTCAAAGTCATAGCATTCAATGTGAACGGCATTGGGAGGCAGCGCTATGAGCTCAGTAAACAGCTGGAAGATCTACACGTAGATGTGACTGTATTCAGAGTCAAATCTGAAACCTCATGAGAGGTTCCTTATTCCAAGTTACCACTTTTATAGAATCAACCGCCACTAGGGCAGAAAAGGCGGAACTGCCATTGCAGTTAGAAAAGGCATCCCCCATAACCATGTAGACCTACCACCCCTTGTTTCAGTAGAAGCGACAGGAGTCTGCATACCAATTGGTAATAGTGAAGTACTGCTTACAGCTGTTTATAAATCCCCAGGCAGGGCCTGGAGTGATGCTGACATCACTGAGCTCTTAAGCTTTAGATGTAAGTCTATTTTGGCAGATGATTTGATTGCTAAACATCCATTTTGGAACAGCAGAGTTTCAAACTCCTCAGGCGGGAAACTCATGGATTTATTTGATATGAGCGAATTCGAAATTTCAGCACCACAGTGGCCCCCTCATTATTCCCTGAAGGAAATGGTGATGTGGTGGACATTGTGGTTCACAAAAATATCAGAATGTCAAATGTCATTATCTCTGATATTTTGGATTCAGGTCACCTACCAATAGTATTCCACATATTGGATCACATTAGAATTAGCAATATTTCGGAACCTACTGAAAATTTTACAGATTGAGAGCGGTTTCAAAGCCTGACTCCTGAGCTAATATCACCTAAACTAAAAATTAAGTCAGGGGCAGAAGCCAATAAAGCAGCACGCGATTTTGCAGCCTCTATTGCTTCGACATATAGGTTGTCAATAATTGTGACAAGAAACCAGGGATCCAGCGTGTAAGACAGCAGTCAATTGGGTCACAAAATCAATCAGGCGACTGACCCATAAAAAGGCACTTGAATTGTGGGAAACAAAAATAGGTAACGCTGAAGTCACACCTCAGGGTATATGGCCCATTGCCAAATCTCTCTTTAACAGAGACGGATCAAGGGCGCCAACTGCTATTCATGGTTCTTCTGGCCTTAAATTTCACCCTTCCGAAAAAGCCAACGGAACTGCCGACTGTTTGGAAATTCAGTTCACCCCGCATGATCTGTGTGACGATAACCATGAACGGCAGGTGGAGGCTAGAGTTCAAGCTCTGCTGGAAACCGTAGACAACCCCCTCAAAGGATCAGACCACGTGACGTACAGAAATTAATAAATTCCTTGAAATTAAAAAAGGCTTGTGGAATTGACGGCCTCCAAAATGAATGCCTCAGGCACCTACCAAGGCGACCATTGGTTCACCTAACCCATCTATTCAATCACTGTTTTAGGTTTTCTCGTTTTCCAACTACTTGGAAGGAAGCAAAAGTAATAATGGCTTCATGTCACTCACAAGTTAGTTTGATGTTACGTACATTATTAACATTACAGAAACCACATATTCCTGGCAGTTTTAATAGGAGTATGTATTTGGTAATCAACAAGTGTGTAACACCTGTCAAAGTTTCAGACTTCTCTGGCCATTATCTCCGTAATCGTTCAACTTTGGACATAGCTGTTTTGGGTTATATCGGCATACTTTAACATAAGGAACACCCTCCCGAAGTCTGGCACATTCCTCCTGGGACACCCTTTGCACAATGGAGGACACCCCCTCTCTACCCAGCAGTGACGTGGCAGCTCTGGCCGCGATGACATGGCGGGTGAGTCAGCACTCCGTTCTCCCTCCGCACTGTGACATGGCACGAAACGCCGCTGTCAACACAGCGTCAGGCAACAGCTGTACTCATTACGTAACAGGCAAACACTGCAACTATATAAGAGAACTACACAGTCGCCGAAGACAGTTTAACATGTATCAGCCGCCGAAGTGAGTTCTCCAGTCAGCAGTGAACGAGTTAAAAGTGTATCAGCCACCGAAGTGAGTTCTCAAGGCAGCAGCCTAAGAGTTGAGTTGGAATCTAGCCAGCAGAGAGTTACGAGTTACCAGTTAGCCAGCAACCAGTCAGTTGTATTCTGGCATTTTCAGTCTAGTATTTGATACTGCCAATGGCAGTAATTGTGAATCTGTGAATTGGGTGATTGTAAGAGCGAATGTGAAATAAAATTCGCTATATCCAATATGGCGTAAAGTTATTTGTAGCGTTATACACCCAACACATGACAAAATATATATATACCATACCATAAAAATAACAGTACACTAACTGTCCCTGTCTTGATTCTTCTGTGGTATTATGGGTATGGTGTAGATGGAGCCACACAGTGATGTTACGGGTCTCCTGCAATGCACATTTGTACCTGCAATCTCTTTTTAATATCCGAGTGTAGGGTGAGTGTCACTGGAGTATGTGTCATCATGTTGTTCTCTTTATGATACATAATGCAGCTCATGTCTTGTCTTGTAATCAGTCGTTGACTCTTTTAAAGTTATCTTATGTTTAACTTAAATTCAGTTTAAAATGTAGCAAATGTTTTTATCAATGAATGCCACAGTCACTCCATCATTACATACCCTCAGACTACAGACACACATGCCAGCAGCATGGACTGGAAGCACATGGTGCTGGAAGATGTCATATCATACCTACAGAAGGGTGAACTTACAATGTGTCCAAAGAGAAATGGATCTCCCCTAAAGTAACGTAAGCATCATTTCCTGGACCCTGATGGAGCTACACAAACTGATTCAATTTTGAGAATATTATTCTTCACAAGATGAAGAAAATTTAAAACAGATGTGTTTTCACATTGAAACATGAGTTTATTCTGCTCTTCACACACTGATAGATACAACAGATTTATGATTTAGGTGGGGTCATGCAATTTCCATCTGGATAACGCTTCCTGAATGCCTGAATTAATTCAGGATCAACAAGCCTCACACCATCCACCTGGTTCCCCAGTGTAATCCTAAACAAAAAAAACATATATTAATGTCCATCACTAGGATTAATCTGTCTTCTCAAGCATCTGTTACAACAAATGATGTACTCACCAGTTTGGTTGAACATTGTGGGGACGACCAAATAATTCTATTTTTCTAGTTCCAGGTGAAAGACGCTCAATGATCCCATAGATTTCGTCTGGTTTGTGACTAGTTGCCCTCACTTCTGCTACAATTACATCACAGTCTAGACCTCTGTTCAAGTTGTCTGGACTACCCTTCATCCCAACCTGCAGGTAGAAATATTAGCCTTGCATCAGCTTGTATTCCAAACAGAACATAGCATTTCAATTATGACGGGTTATGAGGATAATATATTATGCTCTGTATTACTGGATTTCTGGACTTGTCAACTGCCTGGTATTCCAACCAGGACACAGTGTTTCTAACACTGGACCTGTTACCATTCTCAGATGATTATATAGCAATGCAGATCACTATTTCTAACGAAACCAACTTATCAGATGCCTCCCCACTTTTTCACTAAACAGAATGTCTGAGATACTGCATGCTCTTCTGAATGGGGAAAGTCCAGAAACTCAGTACTCATAAAGACAACTGACATCTTGCTTCTATTACAGAACTCACAGGTTCATGACTGCCTTATCTTGATGTTTCACACTCCCAACACATAGGCATATGTAAACACACAAGATACTACCACAAAAATTCTGTCCACTTTTAATTCCATATTTACTTACGTATGAAATAAATTTTTCGATACCTGGGCATCTAAAAAAAATGGCCATCTTACATTCATATAACTAAGACTACCACACTGGGGTCAATGTTTTTACGTTACCAGCCAATATTGTTGCCAATATTGTTTTTAGATGGAAATACAGTTTAGTAGCATTCTCTTCCATTTTGAGGTGTAGGTACAGTCCGAAATTTGAAGCTTTAATGCATATACATAAGCTTTAATATCATATCCACATTTATCTGTGTGATGGCAAAAGAAAGGCAGAATGCTGTGATGTAGATGACTGAAAAGAGAGGTTCTACAGTGTCACAGATACATTAGGTTGAGTGCTGCAGCTGTAACATGAATGTTAAAATAATGGTCAGGAAGCACGTGGAAGAAAGTAGCAACTCTGCTGCGGTGTGACAATGCTGAGTTACCAAAATATGTAAATGTCCAATGCTGGAGGAATCCAAAAGAACAGTTAAAGTATGCCAATTCCACACACACAAAAACTTGTGATGCCATGCAAGGATAATGCAAAGATGAAGAAGAACAAGTGCTTCAGTCTGTTTAAAAATTGTAAAGCTGGTTTCTCTACTTCATGAACACAATTCAGTAATGGATTTGATTAAGGCATTGCCAACCAAGAGCTCTGTAAACAGTCCAACATGCAACAGTAGATGAGTTTGTGTTTCCTATGTCACCTGCCACGTCAAGCAGTAGTGGAACAACAGGGCTATGCAACCCATTTCTAAGCAACAGCTTGGCAAACACTCTTCCTTGTAAACAGAGATGTCACTAACAACAGAGAGGGTGTTTTCTGTGGGTATGTGCAAAGTGCTTATAAAAGAAGTGAATGCAGTGAAAGAATTAGTTCAGGGGGCAGTGACGAGTCAGTCCAGAAGAATTTTTAGTTCCGAGATTCCAGAGTGACTGAAGATGAAATAGTAAGAAGACTTCATAGTGATCTGAAGTGCTAATTTCTGTGTTTCGATCCATCGCTAGGAGATGACTAGTGGAGACTGAGAATCCTAGTGCATGTGCAGTGGTGAACCGGAAAGTTTGTACAATGATAGTGCTGTATTAATGGTAATTAAGAGAACTTGTAGAAAGGAGGCTTGTAACTTGTAACTGAAGTGCTATTTTGTCACACGTACCACCCTACAGAAGTTGGTGGTTCAGATCATGCTGGATTCATCAGCAGTTAGAACTATGCTAACTGGTGTTAGAAGTGGTACAGATTGGATCAGACTGGACAAAATTATTACGATGAAAATTGCATCATGTAGTTACATCCCCACATTATAGAGATGGATAATCATGGTGGATTTCAAAAGTCTGAACGCTATCATGGAACGGATGGGAGCAGACATGAACGCCCATTATGAAAGGATGATCGCCATAATGAAGACTGGCCTGGAAAAAATGATGGCAGTAGGGGAGCATCAGGAGGTCCCCATGGAGGAGGCTGCAGTGAAGTCTTCAGGAACAATGAAGAAGCACCATAGGGGCTGGCATCTAGCTGCAGGGCAATGCGGACAGCCAAAAGATCTGACCTGAGGAGAGTGTGGGTCCCAGAAGAAGTTGGCTGCTGCCTGCAGGAAGGTGTCCCGTTGTGCAGCAGTGGCACAGCACAAAAGAAAAGTCTTCAGGAAAATACGGACCCAGGGAAATTGTGGACCGTGGCAGGAATTGGCTGCAGTTGGCAGGAAAATTACCTGCAGTGCAAAAGTGGCACAGCACAAGGGATGGGGGTTTCAGGGACACAGACATGATCATCGCTTGAACAGAAATGGCAGAAGAATCAGACCAGGAATAAATATTCAACAGGAACCCATAAAGGATGGATGCTCAGAAGGAGATAATTGATGCGCCAGGAAGGCACCAATGGAACCAGGAATCGAAACTTTGAGGAACAGCTACAGCTTGGAAGTGAGAGGACAACCAGTGGGAGCTACAGAAAGATCATCAGGCTGGGGACTGTGAAGTGAGCAGTAAGGATTTCCAGCAGGTTGCAGAAAATCAGGAATTGAACCTTGTGAAGGGGTTGACTCCCTCTGAAGCAGAAGAAAATCTAAGAGCAGCATTAGCATAAGAAGAGCCCGAAAGGTGGGAGCACCAGCCACTCGGGATAGTTCTTCCCCAATTTGGGGGGGAAAAAGAGAGAAACAAGGAAAGTCTTTGGATGATGGTGATAACCTGGAATATCTGGAACCTTATAGGGGAACAACTCAGAAAGAGCTGGTCATAAGGTGGGAGCAGTGGTAGAGGTTGGAGAAGGAACACCGGAGGAGGAAAAATTGAGCAATGGGAAGGAAGGCGAGATGAAACCAAGCAGAGACCTCAAAAATGAAGTACAGGGGGTGCACCAGTAGGTCACTTTGGACAAGCAGCCTTAAGGAGGAAGCAATGTAACTGATTTGATCAACACAATGCCAGGCAACAGCTCTGTAAACATACTGCAACATTCAACAATAGATGAGGTTGTGTTTTCTATGTCGTCCATGCTGAGCAGCACTACTTGTCTGGGCTTCAAATTGTAAGTATGCATCAAGAACCGGCTCTATCAGTGAACTACTTCCTAAACAAAAAAAGTGACAAATAGTGATAAACAGTGCAAATCAACCAAGAACAGGAACCTCAAACCAGCAGGTATGATAGCAATGTTAACAATTCACAACTACATTGATGCACCCTGCAGAAATCACAACAGAATGCAACAATAGGATCACCAATCAACAAAATCATAATCCAGTCAACATACATTGGCCAACCATGAACCCACCAACATACCCATTTTCACCAACTGTGATACCACCACAAACCCAAGCAATACAGATGCAACTACCACCCAATTACTACGCAACACCAGTGCAACAACAAATGCAACCACCCGACATAAATTACATAGACAACGAAGACAGAGGTCAACATATACAACAAATGACCTCATCCAGTGAAGAAGAAGAAGAAACACAGAAAAATAACGATAACAAATGGCAAATAATCTGAAGCACAAAGAGAAAAAAAACCTCCAATCAACCAAAAATCATCACAAATAACATAGAAACCGACACGACTCACTATCTCAACAACCAGGAACCTCAAACAATGAAATCAACATAATGCCAAAAGTACCTAAACTGCCGCCAATATTCGTTTATGGGGTACAAAATTACTCCAAATGATAAAACGAATCCAAAAAAATAGCCGAACAAGAGCAATATGTCATCAAAAGTCTAGCGAACAACAGTGTCAAAATAAATGGCGAAACTACATAAACCTACAAAAAAACGATCAGAGAATTCAACGAAGAAAAAATATACCACCACACTTACCAACTGAAAGAAGAACAAGCATATGGAATAGTAATAAGATACCTTCATCACTCAACAAAAATGGAAGACATAAAACAAGAACTAGCTGAACTAGTACACAGAGTCAGAAATATAATCAGCGTACATCATAAAGCTACTAAAGAGCCATTGAACCTATTCTTTGTAGACCTAGAACCAGCCCAACAACAAAAAGATCTATGAAATAACAGGACTCCAAAACAGAATAGTAAAAATAGAACCTCCCCACTCAAACAAAACAAATATAATCCAATGTATGAGATGTCAACAGTATGGCCATACAAAAACATAATGCAATAAGCCATACCTATGCGTCAAATGCGGCGGCCACACAATACAATAGATTGCAAGAAGACAAGCGAAACACCAGCCAGATGCGCACTATGCGGAGGAAATCACCCCGAAAACTACAGAGGATGTGAACACTTTCATAAGCTAACCAAAGATACCAACACAAGTTTTTCCCAAAGACACTCTGCTCCAGCAATCTACACACATGAATCCTACACAATAAATACACAACCTTTAGAAATAACTCAACCCAGAAGCTATGCAGAAATCACAAAGTGAAATTTATCCCAAAAAGAAGAAACAACATACTAGCAAAATTCCTAGATGAATTCAAAAATTTAATTCAACAATTATTACAACAAAATACTATGGTACTAAACATGCTAACACTTGTCAACAAAACGAAATAAATGGCCAGATTCCTAAGAAATGCCAATAGACTTCCAAATCATCAAGAAGATATAAAAATATTTCTAAACGTAAACTCAATCGACATCCTACTAATCAGAAAAACCCACTTCACCAGCAGAAGCTACTTCAATATCCCTAAATACAAACTTTACCATACAAACCACCCCACCACTGCAATCCTAATCAAAGAAAAAATTGAACATCATGAACTACCAAAATATGAAACATGAAAGTTAAAACATTTCCTTATGCTTTCACCATTACCGATGTCTATTGTCCTCCCCGCTATAACCTCAAAAGACACCACTTCGAGTCATTCTTCCAAACCCTGGGTACAAAATTTATAGCTGGCAGAGGCTACAACAGCAAGCATACATCTTGGGGCTCACGACTCATAACAACAAAAGGCAGAGAACTACACAAGACAATCCAAAATAACAATTACTCCATCATATCAACTAGAACACCAACATACTGGCCCACCGAT